GTCATTAATCAGGAGTCTGAACACCATTTCACTAAATTGACTCACCCGATCATCACCTTGGATGATTTCTAGAAGATTCTTGCATTTAGCTACATACGTAAAAGTCAGTGGAGAAAACAGAACAATGATGTGGTCCCCTACCCAATCGTTCCTCGTCATCATAGATGGTCTGATTTGCTGGGGGTGACTTGGGGGCAGATATGACAGTTTCAGGACTAGGTAAATGACCATTGTCAGGTGCAGGTGGTGCAGAAATAATATTGTTTTTGACTGCCAGTGGTGGTACAACGCTCTGTGGTATTGTTGATGGAGTTCTTGTATGGCTAGAGCTGGGGGAGAGACTGAACTTGATAGTAGGGACTGTGATAATTAACATGGCTTGATAGTATAAATTGCAATGGGCGATGGTGATTCCTGCATCTCCTCCATACAGAGATGTCATGATATGTACATGAGTTTCTATGTAGCCAGCTCGCAAGCCAGAGCTGCAGCTCAAGCTGCCACATGTGGGGCCAGCTTTTTCCCAGGCTTAGCTTTGTCAGGCTCAGCTGTAGCTGGTAACAGTCTTTGGCCAGGAACTGGCAAAAGCTGGAGCTACGGCAACACTATTACAGGGTGTGCTCAGCGTGACATCCAGCACTTAATCATTGCAGTTAGTGCAGATGTGGTTCCTAGTGCTGTGATACTGTCATCCAAGCTCTAATGACTTCTGTTATCTCATACAGTCACCTCAAATTGTCAATGTTGATGTCAAGTGCCTTTCTGCAGCTCTCAAAGCATTTCATGCCAACAAAGATTCAATTTTAGTTGGTGCATTTTGGTGTGGTCAGCATGGTGCAGTTATTGATAACTGGTATATCCTGAAGATTGAGCTTATGCAGAGCTAGTTCCAAGTATCTGAAACAGTGGAGTTATCATGCAGTGGACTGCTGACACTACAGAACATGCACACATCACCAAAATCAAGGATCCCACATGCTTGAGCAACAACCATGACTATGATTCATGGGTCTGTCAACATCTGGACTGCGCTGACAAATGCTGTTGCTCTGAACTCACCATAAATCTGCTAGACAATATGCCAGGCTCAAAGCAACAGGTTGACACAGATCATGGTGATGCTGTTGATGATGACATTGATTTTTGATGTTGACAACAATCATGACACCTCAGTAGAGCTTCTTGCAACCATTGGATGTCCCAGCCATTTACATTCTATCACCAATCAATTTGCAATTGCAAAGCTCCTCCAGTACAGGAGGTGGGAACAGTCTCTGTACCATTGTGCTTATTCTCTGTCAGACACACATCATTTCATCTGCCTATGCCCCATCCATCAGAAACATTTCTGTTGATGACACTGCTCTCAAGTTTGGCCTTCCTGACCTATGACCAGTCATTACTGACTTTCTCAGTCATGAAGCTGCTCATGGGCATGATTTTGTTTACACCATTGGGGGGACTAGGAAAGCTAAACTTACTACTCCACTTCCATTTGAAAAGCTCCAAGTCTGGTTCAAGCTTCAATTGTAGGATACTGATTTTCATGACATTAGTATCATATGGCCTGCCCAGATTTTGAATTGTTTACCACCTTCTGAATCTGGACCTGTGGCTGGTATGATCTGATTGTTGTTAACAATGATGTGAAATGCACATGGCCCATTGATGGTCTTCATGGTACATTTGCTCTTCTTCCATGCTTTCTATTTTCATTATCAAACTAGGGCATACTGTTGGTGAAATAAGACTTATTATGTGTCCTGTTGGCAAGGCTGGTACAAATTGGTCATGGAAGGACCATTTCCTTGCCTATGTTTATTGCTTTGACTTCATTCTGCAAGATAGAAGTGATCATGAGCTGAGTATACAACTGCACATACTCAAATGAGCAATGCATTCAAATGATACTTGAGTGAGTGATATTGTACCAGTCACACAGCTTAGGGCACCTGTCAATCTTGTATCTTGTTATGGTGCAAGTGCAGACCATTGTCTCACCCCATATAACAGTATGGAACATTCTTCAGAATTCTGGCTTAATAAATACTGGGATAAAAACACATTCCTCCCAACTTTCCATGTACTAGCTTTTGCAGATAGCTGTAATCAGTTTTTTCACTTCACACTATTTTCAGTATTAATCACTATTGGCTAGAAGTCCATTTTATAATTAGTTCACCGGAAACACTGAGCTTCATGGCACTATGCAGTGCATGATAAACATTTAAATTCATCTCCAGTGGTCCACCATTGTCATAATTAGTGTAAATGTCCCAAAATGGCTTTCTTTTTCAGGACCATTGACAACAAATCAAACTTTTGTCCCTATTGTCTATCCCTGACATCAGTGATATTCATGCCATGAATAAAATCACCTCTGACAAACTCAATCATTGGGTTACACATGAGGATCCACCAGAGGCATCACAACTGCTAGGGACATTTGCTATCTCACATCTTCTAGCCTTTCAAAATCCCTCTCCCTGATGTATCTGACCTCAAAATTTCCTTTAGAAAAATAATTTATCCCAATGAACACATCAGATTACAATACCAGGATTAGCACCAGATTCCCTAGTGCCACTGTTACAACATTGCAACTCACACTTAGGAACTGGGATCTTCCAGTTAACCCTCCTGGAAATGAGTCAGACTCAATACTGGGATTGCCACTTACAAAGAAATTATACAAATCCTTTATGAACACTCTTGCTAGCTGCTTATCAGCATTATAACCCTGCTTGAATGCAAGTGCTATGCAACTCATACATGGAATGCAGGCCAGGTGCTCACAAGGTGTTGCCCTGCAGAACATAAAGTATAAACCTGATCTTGTCCTCGCTGATGATATCACAACAAGATGGGGAAACATCAGGATCTGGTGAGCTAACACACAGTCCTTACAAGCCTGCAATGTGACTTGGGAAGGCTGCAGACACCCACACCTACTTTATGATGAGTGAACAGCCCTGGAGGCACTTTGCCCTCATCTTATCATTCACCGATGCATATACTATCTCAGAGTCCTCATGTATGATCACTCTGGTGGAGCTGTATCTACTTGCTTCAATATCTACCAGCAACCAGATCTACTCCCTCATATTATTGCTGCTATCATTTTTGGCAGTCTAGAATATGTTGGGTATGATTCAACAGTTTCCTTCATGAAACATGTTTCACCACCTCTTTCCATGGACATCATGTCTATTATCCAATCAGAAATATTCCCACATGATGTAGCAGTTCAGCAGACCCTGCTGCTTCCACCTCTGAATCTCTTACTGAGCTTTTTGTTTCTGAAAGCCTATAATCTGATGATCATCTTGAGTCTATAGTCTCTGACTCTGAGGAATGCTCAAGTGAGGACTTGCTTGAAGGGAGCTCAAATGATATGACTACTCAGTCATTTGCACATGAAGAATTTCCCCCATCTCCCTCTCACACACAACCTACTATGGTATCTAGTGCCCCCCTTCTTAGCCTCACATCCCAATGCTCCAGGACTTGACAGAGAGTATATTTTCTGTCATGCCCCATCCTTCCTAATTTCCTTATTCTGTACACTCACCTGAACCTCATGGCAAGATCTGTGTAGGGGATAACATATATACTATCAAGAGAATTCTCTTTGTAAGTTAGGGCTTGTTGGTTATGGGACTATCTGCTATCTTGCCAGTTTGAATAAAGAGGACTACATTGTGAAGGACCATTGGGTTCTCAGCAAGCAGGATGACATCTTCTTGAATGAGACCACTATGCTAAAATTGATGCATAGTATCCCTGGCATTCCAGAACTGGTAGATTATTAGCTTGTCACAATATCAGAGGGGAGGTTGACAACACTCAAAGTTATTGCAAAGAGAATGCTGAGTATACTATATGCAATGCTGAAGAAGTCTGCCACTGTTACTCAATAGTAATGTCCAACTTGAAACATGCTGCTTCAATATCTTTGCAGCCTGTGGGCCTAGGAAGTGCTAAAGTGGAAGAAATTGGATGATATCTGAGTCAGGCTAGCAAATATTTTTTTTTAATCAATATGTGTCATTGTGGTAGTGTTGGGGGTAGAAATATTTTAGGGTGAGTTCTGCCAAAAAAATGACAGAACAGCAATTGACAGAAATGTTTTTGCATGTTTTTGCCTGTTTCTAGAGTGGTTCAAGATGGCAGCAAAAATGATCTAAGCTATTGCATAGATGCTACACCCTCCAATGACAATAGTGTGTCAATGTTCCAGACTGCTTCCATGCCATATAACCCATGGCCAACCACATCAATTTCCTCAATAAATCCTGCAGGTGTAATTCCTTTATCAACCTTCTCCAGCTCATTCTAATCAATAACACCTTTGTCAAACAATATCTGGGACTTCACAAGTGCCTTCAAGTTCTTGCAAGCCATGGCATGAATCCACATCTCATTTTTGAACCTGCTGAATTCTTTGAGCGCCCTTCATCTGTTATTGACTCTGTGCCTGCAAAAAATTCATTGTCCAAGTTGTGAGAGTCACAAGTGAGTGGAGGCCACCCATTGCAAAAGACCTTTGAAGTTCATTTGCTAAGGCTATGTCAAGTCTATACTCTGGTTGAGTGTGCATATGGGTGTGTTTGCAACATGTTGGCTTACCAGCTTTGTGATCTACCTCGTGCAAGAAATTTGCATAGCTTGTTCAGAGTTTGCTAAGAGACTTGAAAGTCTGAACTGATAGGTTACAGCACTTCACAGATTGTACCCTACCCAGGCCCAAGAAATACGCTCAACATCAGCAGCATGAGGTGTGATCAAGTGGATTATAATTGTGAATGCCTTCAATGGACAGTGCTCAGCATTGACTGGGAGGGTTTCCCATCATTGAGTGTATCAGCTTGCCCAACAGTAGTTGCATTTGCAAAAATAATGATTGGATGAATTTGGGACTTTTTGCTATTGGACAAGGTGGTTGGTGATGATTTTTTGAGTGGGGCAGCCCTTGGACTTTTTTGATGACATTCTGGTATGCAGAGAGGCTCATATACACTTTTTTGAACAACAATCATATGCTATTTTACTTGTAGTACCAATAGATTCACATTGATTTCTGCTGACTTCTACCCAAGGCCCTTGACCCTACTGCTGGCAATTGTCATTGGCAGATGGCAGACTTCTGCCTACAACACTACATTGTGGTACTATCTCTTACATTGACTCATGATATGTATCACATATTTCCAGAAAACTTTCATTGCTATCTGTCACCCATACTACTACTGAACATGTTATTTGTCTTGCATCTGAGGACTCATTTTGCTTATATCATATGTTGACTCAAATATTTGTATAAATCTGAACTTTCTTTCATGCCTCACCACTCATAACCATGTAGTAGTACAACTGCACATTGACTCAAAGGTGCAAACATTATTTCACTAACAAGGCATGGTCTTTCATTATCTCCATCAGTAATGCATCCTGCATACCAATTGAGGCAAATACACCACATGTTTACAGTAGCACTCAAAGAAGTATAATTTTTCTCAAGGCTGCTTGAATCTTTCTACCAAGATGGTATATAATGGTGAGTCTGATCAATTTTGTTTTTTGTCTTGCTGCTCTCTGTATTGCATCATGTCTCCTTATACAGTAGCCAGTCCTAGGAAGAAAAGGTCCAAACACAAAGCTTCTGACACTCAAGGCTACTTACCAAGGAGGCATCATGCTACAAACCTCTCCAAAATTCCCAGCATGCTGCTCATGTCTCTCGGTCTCACTAAAGTTGATGCTACAGATACTGCTCCTTAATATTCCAGCCATCCTAATGCAGGAATAGGGGGTAGGAACACCCAGCTAGGGAAGATTGGGGTAGTTTTAGAGTCTTTGTCCTGGAACCAGAAACCTAGGGGTGCTA